AAAGGACTTGTATCGCTAAAGTTTCTTCGGAAAGAAATTATACGGAAAATTAACTAACGACCAGAGACGTAACAATAATTTTATATGTCAGTCTAATTGATAATCAGGTGTATCTTGAATAATTACCTACAACGATTATTTATTATTTCTCGTTAATACATTTTCTATTATGAATATTATTTTGGGTTGTTAGAGTAGTATACGAACTTAGAAATAATCTGTATTTCCTAAGCTGGTCAAACCTACGTAGATAGCTTGCTTTGATCAAAAAACAATCTTTATTACGTGAAAAAAAAAAAAACAAAGTGTGTGTGTGTGTGTACCTGCTTGGATGTTTAAACATGCTGGATCATTGCTCTGCCTGGATACTTTCTGTTGTTCGCATAACCGGATCTTGTTCTGTAGAATAATCTTCCCAGAAGATGTTCCACACAGACTACCAAATCCAAGGTGCCTTACAAGAAACCCCGCATTTACCCAGTGCAACGTGTGCTACCTATATGACTGGACACTCTCATTACAACATAGGTGGTGCTGTAACTTTTATATATCACCTGAACAACGGTTGAAGGACACAACTGTCAACATTCTAACACAACGTCACATTATACAATGTTTTCCCTAGGCAGTAACAGGTATTACATACTTTGAGAACAACAAAGGAACAAAGATAACTTGAAAAATATGAACTTAATGATTCTCGTGACCACGTATTATCTGAAACTTGTACTTATTCAGAACAACGAATATATTCAGAAGAAATATCTAACACTACAAGAAGACAGGAACCCGTGGTATATTCAAACATCACCCATTCCTGTCTTCCTATTCCCAGGCTTGTTCAAAGTTAACACTAGCTTCAATTTCACTACCAGTAAATTTTAAAATCGCCCAGATATAGACTGTATTAATTCTTTCTCACTTTCAAAATCACACACACACACCACTATCCTCCCACCCCTTCTCTCCATAATATTCTTCACCAAGTTTCCCAAGGTCCAGATGTGGTAACTGCAATGTATAATAGTGTCTTAAAAGTGAAAAAAGGGTTGAAAACTACAACTGATGTTAGTGAATTAAAATAAAAATAATTTATCATTATATAAGCCTATATGTGTAAGTGTTTTGTTCAAATTTATTAATAACGGTTTTCGGAGAGATAGTGATATAACTAAAGATAAATTTGTGACATATTGAATTTAAACTTAGTATTAAGTAATACTTCCATACGTTTGAAAGTTTGTTTTTAATGTAATATTTAGATGAATCGCATATTTTTAATAAAGGATTCCATTTTATTTTTAAAAATCGCAGTGATCATAATATTGAATGCAAAGATGCAAAAAATCTCATATTGACACTGAATTTACTGACAATAATTCACTATAAATCATTAATATATAACGTATTTAAAATGAAAAAAAATACTGTTTACTTTTGTTTTCTTTGTTCTGAAATTGTTGTATTATATTTTTTTCTTGAAATTTTACACTAATTTTTAGCCGCCTGCTCGTAAAAGTGGAAAAGTGATGATTCATTTGAAAGCACCTGAAGTTTAGGCTTAGGACTTAATGGTTCTTGTTGTGTTATTGTTAAGCTAACAATAAGTTCCGTAAAAGAATATTCAGGCTCATCGATTAGGCAGACTATTTCAGTTGAAAAGGTGTGTATTTTTGTGCTATACTGTGATCATCGCGAGATCTATGATCTCTTGATTTTTTTATTTTAGTTTACTTATCTTTGTTCTCAAACTGTTAAACTTTAAAACTAAGTTAAATTAATTTCTCAAGTACTCAGCTTTTCCTCGACTCATAATCTTAATATTATGACAAATTTTGTGTAAATATGGATTTCGTAATTTTTTTTCAATTCCAACTGAACCAAAAACTTTGTTCAGATATATGTTTTACTGGAACAAACTATCTTCTAATTCTAAAGGAAATGATAAGTGAAGTTTTAAAACATGATGCAATTTAAGAAAGATCCGTTTTATAGTATACTTATAGTTATACTTTCTGTTCATTATAATTTATAAATTATAGTGTGTGTCCTGGCTATATACATATACATAGGGTTGTGTACATTATATTAAAATAATTTTGGATCCTTGCCATGTCGCAGCCTGTGTTGCTATGTATAGTTATGTGCTGTGTGAAAAGTTTGTGTCTTTGACAGTAGCTTACCAGCTTGGTTTTCATCACAGAGGGCCCCATCATAAGGCTTTCTTATCCAAAGCAATCCACTCATCCCTGCAGGATTTTCATAACCTTAACTATATGAGGACAATGGTTTTACAGTGCCTGCTACAAAGTCTGATCTAATGGAAATCTGTAGGCATTGCATTTGGCATCTTGTATGTCTTTATATATGAAATAGCATAAATACCCATTTCATTCTACAACTGCTTGAGCTGCGATGGATGAATGAGAGGTGTGACTGCAAGCCTTATCTTGGTGAACCCATACCATGTTGGCCTTCTATCCAAAAAGATATCCATGTTGATTGTGTTGTGTACTGTTTTCTGGGTGATATAGAAAGCTTTTGTCACTTATGTTTGTGTTTATAGATTCTCACCAGTTACAAAATGTCAGAATTTGCTTGCCATGTTTGAGGTAAAACTTGTTATGGGCCTCTTTTTTTTGTGGTCCTGGTGGCCCAGTATGATCCAAATTTGTTTTCCAATGCTACTAAGTACAGTCTTGGAAATTCTAAATCCTTGATCTGAACACATCTTTGTGATCTGAGTGTGTGAATATTTTGTTTTAGAAAGAGCTGTTACATACCCTTCCCAAGAGCAATAAATTTTATGGTGGCATTATATTACCTATGAAATGTAGTTCTGTTACTTTCTGTTCCACCATAACTTTGTCAGTTGTGATTGACATGTGGCTTGCTGATTTGATTATTCAAAATAGTTTTAATATAATATACTCAAATATTCCTTTAAGTGACTAACACAGTAATTTAGCAATGAAATTTTGTAGACTGATATTTTTTGCTGTTCCTGAACTTGAGGTTTGTAACTTTATATATGTTTATTATAATTTTTGTTAATTTCAGCAATGGATCGGCTGTTGAGACTTGGTGGTGGCCTTACAGGATTAGGGCAGGTAGAGTAATTATACTGTATTTTACACTAACTTGTAAAGTAGAATAGTTAGAAAAATTAAGTTGTATGTGTCATAAAATGTCTAAACATGCATGTAATGCACTGTTAAGGCACTAGGACACGTTTCTTACTCCAGGCTTCAACAAATATTTTCAGATCTAGGAACCAGCTTAAAAACTTGGGAGCCAGGTGTGTCTAACCTAACTTCACTATCATTTGTACCGGGAAATGGGGGCTACAGTGTATATTTATTTACTTTCACAGCAGTGAGTACATGGTAACAATCACATGATATCAACAACCAATTGATAGTGTTGCCTGAACTAACTGCCTTTGGTCGTCCCGTCTGAATCTAAACGTATGCACTGATTGGTTGAATTGAGATAAAAAAGTAAAACAAAATAGCACAAAATTTGTAACATGTCATACAACTGCAGCGCTTCATTCCTGAAAAACATGAAGTGTTGAATCTCCCATTAAAATCCTAGAAACAAAGTTCAATTTAGGACTCAAAGAATGGAAAAATAGTTCTAAATTCGAGTTCTATTTAGTACAGCCCTATGCATGAATAAAATGGGAGAAAATACTGAGCACCAGGTGGAAATTTTAGTCACAGTGGCAACCTGACAGCTGGAATTTGTTGAGGCCTATTTTAATCACATGTTAAAATCATATTAAAAGTAAGTTTGAAAGAATGTACATGTAAATAGAAGACATACTGTATGTAATCTTTGGCACAGTGGGTGATGACTGAGCTCAAAAATGAAGACAACTCTATTTTCTTCGAAGGAAAAAATAACAAGAACTGTTGAAACTTTAAAGGTGAAGTTTAAAGACACTATGCCTAGTTGTGTGGCCCCTGGGTCTGTAGATCCTTGGGTCCTCTCTTAGCTCTTGTTTAAAAGTGTAATGTTAACCTTCCATTAAATATAAATTACCCCATTGTGAATCTTTTTGAAACATTTGCAGTTAAGACTTACTGAATTGTTGTTTAACCACCCCAGTGGTTAGTATATCAGAAAAGGTTTGTTATATACATGCATTAGTAATCTGGTACTCAAGTTTTACTACAGAACATTTATTTCATAAAGTTTAATACATGTGAGGTATATATAATATCTCATCCAAGGTATGAGAGTAAAACAGGAGAAAATTGTATAAAATGTCACTTCATCTGACATATCTTGTCTTCCACAACAATATATTCATGTTTATTTCAACCTTGATTGTATATGAACGTGTATAGTTTGTTTTTCTACTCAATACAGGGACCTCCTCCAGGAGACATGTTTGTTTATTTCAACCTTGATTGTATATGAACGTGTTTAGTTTGTTTTTATACTCAATACAGGGACCTCCTCCAGGAGACATGTTTGTTTATTTCAACCTTGATTGTATATGAACGTGTATAGTTTGTTTTTATACTCAATACAGGGACCTCCTCCAGGAGACATGTTTGTTTATTTCAACCTTGATTGTGTATGAACGTGTATAGTTTGTTTTTATACTCAATACAGGGACCTCCACCAGGAGACATGTTTGTTTATTTCAACCTTGATTGTATATGAACGTGTATAGTTTGTTTTATACTCAATACAGGGACTTCCTCCAGGAGACATGTTTGTTTATTTCAACCTTGATTGTATATGAACGTGTATAGTTTGTTTTTATACTCAATACAGGGACCTCCTCCAGGAGACATGTTTGTTTATTTCAACCTTGATTGTATATGAATGTGTATAGTTTGTTTTTATACTCAATACAGGGACCTCCTCCAGGAGACATGTTTGTTTATTTCAACCTTGATTGTATATGAACGTGTATAGTTTGTTTTTATACTCAATACAGGGACCTCCTCCAGGAGATGGACCTGTTGTTGATACAGCTGAACAAGTTTACATATCATCGTTGGCCTTGCTAAAGGTAAAATTTAATATTATTCTTAAAATCTGTTGATGTACCTTTATACTCAATAAGCATTTCTTCCATGATGTTATATTTTTGATTATGTGATTTTCTTACCGTCTACAGTAATTGTATTATCCCAAACCTTATTCTGTCTTCAGCAGTGCTAATGTTCAGAAGTTTATTCTCATTTTTAATGTCATACTTTTTACAGTGTTTCATTGTCTCATACAACCTTTTAAATATTGTGATTCTTTTCTCTCTACCATGGTTACTGAAGCTTTATGTATTAACTTCGTGCTGATGTTGCCGATAAATAGTTGTTTTGTTCTTGTTTGAAAACTTAATTTTAGCTGTCTTATTGGGATTTTAAATTTCATATCTCTTTAGTCAGATAGTTGGTATTGCTTATGACCATACAATACATTTGGAGATTCTGAACTTGAGTTTGTGTAAGTAAGGAATGATTGTTTATACCTGTATTAAACTACTTGGTGTGAACAGTCATATCCTCACTTAACTCTTTCAGCACAGGCTCGGTCCCTCGGACCGACCTTCTAACCATTTTGTACTTGTTATAGTTTTTATGCTATAACTTTTAAATTAGTAAGCGTATGGTAACGAAATTTGGCAGATTATCAGTAAACATTACAATGCTTTCATGTACAAAGTATCAAATTTTTTTTTATTGTCTTAAGGTTTGTAAAGCAATGTTTTTCTCGTGCCTTTTTTTCTTTTCACATG